ACATGAATTATATATACTAAGATTACCTACTATTAGAGGCAAAAGTAATTCAATATATATTTTTAAGCTTGTAACACAGAAAACTCCAAACATACACAAAAATAGAACTCCCATTCAATTTTCATCACTCAAATTCAACAATCAATATTCTTCCACTCTGACACAATTTAATTTTAATTGAATCTTCCAGCATAATTAATTAGAATTAATGGGTAATATGTTAATGAGATAACAAGCCATAATACAAAAGTGATAGTTGTGTCATTTTTTTGTTTTTCTAAATAGGGAGAGATACTAATGTGCTAGTATACATTAAAAGAAGATTGGCAATGTGTGCAAGAAAATTAGGAAGAATAAGAGAAGCAGTAAAAATAATGAGAGATGTAAGTAAATTTGATGGCTGGACTATTATATTTATTCCCCCAAGAAACTAAAAATGTAGTTCAACTTGCCAGTTATTTTAAAGCAGAATCACTGCTTTTTAATTGGTAGTTTTTATAACAAGATAGTTATTTAATATACATACTTTTCTTAAGGGTTAGGTCTTCACAGTTTTGTTAAGAAATGAGAATTTCTACTTTAATGAATTTGGCTGTGCTCTATTGAGTTCCTTCGTTATGATTTTAATCTTTTTTTCCTTTTAATATACAGTTGATGAAAGAATTTCCTCCTCTTACCATGTTGAACATCCATGAAAATCTCTTAGAATCACTTTTGGAATTACAGGCCTATGCAGATGTTCAGGCAGTCCTAGCAAAATATGATGGTGAGTCATATTTGTCTTAGTTGATAGCATGGTTAAAATATTCTTTTTCCAATTATGTAATTATAAATATGATCATATCCTAATATTTCTCTAATTTTCTATTTTCATTCTTACCAGTCAGTATTTAACATAGGTATAAGTTGCTATTTAGTATCTTTCTTCTGTCAATATTTATTTCTTTGTTTATTGAGTGCCTAACATGAGCTAAGTGTTCAGAATACAACAGTGAACAAGAAGACATGAACTTAGCCCTCACAGGATTTACAGTTTAGTGAAACATACAAACAAATGAGCAGCAGTTACATTGAAGACAGCGTATTAGGTGAGATAAATGGAAAAGTATGGGTGCTGTGCACATAGGAGGGTACCTCATTTGTTTTGGAGTGTCAAGGAAGGCTAGTAGAAGTTGCTTAGCAGTATGTACTTGTAAGAGGAATTCAGAATAACATTTTTACAATGCTTTTTAGTTACAAAGCATAATTTATTATCTCATCTGACCGTTATAGTAATCCTGTGATGTGGTAGGATGAGTATTTTTACTGCTTTCAGTTACTAAATGAGGAAACTGGAGTTCAAGAAGATGAAAGTATTGAGTAAGGTCTCCCAGCCGTAAATGGTAAACGTGAACTTAAAATCCAAGTATTCCATTTCTTTGTTCATTAGTCTTCCCGTAGTAACAATTCAATATATATTGGTTATTTTTCTTATTAACTATTAAGATAACAATGCCAGTCTACTACAAATAGAGTTGGGAGTATTTTAAAGCCACATAACCTTTCTCCTCATTCTGAGTGAGGCATCAGCTTTTAACCCCAAGCTGAAAACTTTGGGTTAATGTTTCTGGTCGTATCTTTCACTATAACAGAACACATATAAGTCACTTATTCACACTTACCCTGTTGTAGGTTCCTACCCGTTAGCTTGGGAATCCCTATGACTTGGAAAGTTTGAAATGTGTTATACTTGGAAAGAGAAGTTAATTTCTTTTAAACATCTGGAATTCTTAGGAAGTGCTTCAGATTAGTATAGGCTCGCGGAGAAATTTGTGAGAAATTCTTTCCATATGTAACTTACTGGATTGATGGCTTGGTTATAATACTTGTGATGAACAAGCTTAGGGACTGAATATAAAAAATGAGAATAGGACCTCATTCATGAAAAATAAAGCTAATTACATTCTGTGCCAACAGGGGTAGAAGAAAAAAAAAACTAAAACTAATAAAGCATAGTTAAGTTAATACGCTTCTGTTTTCATTATTTTCATGAGTCCTGATTTTTGCCATTCTAGAATCCTAAAGAAATTGAAAGCAAATTTACTTCCTTAGTCCTCCATTTGCTCCTGTAACTCTGGAATCAAAAATATCAAGAGAGTTCCAGGCCGGGCGCGGTGGCTCACGCCTGTAATCCTAGCACTCTGGGAGGCCGAGGCGGGTGGATCGCTCAAGGTCAAGAGTTCTAGACCAGCCTGAGCACGAGTGAGACCTCGTCTCTACCAAAAAATAGAAAGAAATTATCTGGACAACTAAAAATATATA